GTCCAATCAGGCCAATGGAGATATCGACAGATATTCAGAGATTAGGAGAAAAGAAAGGTTGAGCCATTTATTCTTGCTTCCAACTCTTTCCCAGGTGTCCCTCAATCAGAGGTCCCCCCACTCTGCCAATGGCTCTCTCGTATAGCTACAGCTTCTATTAGGCTATCCCTGTTCACCCTGTACCCCTGTAGGCTTAAGTGTTGAAAAGCTTCCTAAAGCAGGGCAAGGTACTTCACCATTCCTTGTCATTTTCCCTCAACTCTAGCCACACTTTTGCGCAATTTTCTTTTGGTAAACCTTGTTAAATTCTTTGTTAAAGAATGTGCCATCATTTTCCTGCTGGGTCCCGGCCTGAAGAATAAGGATAAGTTTATAAATATCACTTACCATAGTATGTATTGCCTTGACCTTATCCAAACCCAACTCCAAATATGAACCTTGGTCCTCAAAACACAACACCACATTTTATTTCCTTAAAAATAAACATTTTTATTGATTTTTAGAGAGAGAGAAAGGGAAAGGGAGATAGAAAGAAACATTCATCTGAGAGTAGAATATCAATCAGCTGATTTCTGCATGACACCAACCAGGAATCAAGCTCCCAACCAGGGTTCAAGGTCACAACTCGGACATGTGATCTTACTGGGAATCTAACCAGCAACCTTTTGGTGCACAGGATGATGCCCAACCAAGTGAGCCACACCAGCCAGGGCAATACTACATTTTCTTATCTGATGTCATGGCCTTGGGTTGCTCTTACTAAATGGAATCATTGGCTCTTCACAATCTAATTAACACAAGATCAAAACATTTAAGTATCATTGACAACTTAGACAAATATGTTGGTAGTTGGTAATAAAATAATTTTAATGGATACGTAAAATAGCTTATTGGGAGACCATAATTATTTTTTCTGATGCATGTGTTTATTTAACATTCATTTTTGGTGTCTCCCAAGTGCAAAAGAAAAATAAGAAAACATTCAATCTTTTAAGAATCAATTATCTTAATTAATTTGCATGTGTATAGTAATTCCAATTTTTGTCTTAACACATATCTTCACATTTATTTTTAACAACAGCGCTGTGAGAGATCAGCTATTAACTTCTACATATTATTCATGAAGAAACTGAGACTTAATTTGTTATTGCCTTAGATTGATGATCTTTCTGTTTAGTAATATGATAAAACTACCCACTGTTTAGTAATATGATAAAAACAGAAACAAGAAAAGAGATATATAAAGTCCTATCTCTCAAAATCAGACCATAATATTTTAGGCATAAAGCCAAAAAGATTCCAAGTCTACACATGTTATGCCATCTGAGACAGACAGAGCACATATTTATTTATCCCGATCAGCAGATGAGGTGAAGAGCTGACTATTTTAAATCCAGCTATCTATCGCCAAATCACAGAATTACCAGTAGAATCTAAGTCACCCAACCATGTCTTATTTGTAGACGGCCTACTGTGTGCATCTTAAAATACAATCTAGTCAAGTCACAAAACGCATTCTCTCTTTAATTTTTAAGATGAAATCAATAACTCTGATTTGACTGAAATCAATAACACCGCCTTGACCTACTAGGCCTGGTTTTACAAATAAATTACTCCACCCATCCTTCCTACCATATGTAAATATTAACTAGGTAAAAGTTTGACTAAATGCTGCTCTTTTGTTGTGCCTCCTGGTTTCTGTGAAAGAAACTGATCCAGGTAGAACTGGTGTTGGGTGTCACACTAGTACCAAAGGAAGATATATGTTAAAAAGCCTGGAGGTTTCTCTGGGGAGTTGCCACAGGTTTCAGTGGAATGACAATTACAAGGAACACGGATCATTGAGTGCCTTCTATAGCTTTTACAATAGTGAGGATCATTATTTTAAGGTTCATTTGCATAATGGTTGGCCTAGCAAGAACAATGGTGAATGCTAATAGCCTCAGGATGCAATAAAACATTATCTGGGCTGAACTTCTAGAGGAGAAGTTGCCAACGTATGACTCTTTAAGTACTTAATTTCATCCCAGGTTGAGTCCACACACAATCAAATACAGATTTCTGCTATCTCTTAAAAAAAAAAAAAAAAAAAAAAAAAAAAAACCTGGCAAGGAATGACTGGAAGAGAAGAGCAGCAACCTCCTTTATACAGAATCCTTACTAGTAGGTTTTGCTTTTTTTTTCTTCCTACATAACTTGCTGCCCCACCCCCACCCCCAATGGCTGAATTTGAAACTACCATCTTCCCTCCCCCAAACAATTTCCCACTCCGCCTCTTCCCACACCCCACACCTGGCAAATACACCAAATTTGATGCACCAAAAAAGAATGTCTCATCCTATGGGATGAAAAACTTTCACTGAACCTTTGGAAGAGATAAAGTTGACCATAGCTAGCAGTTTGTGGTGTTTTAAAGGCAAACAGATAGGGTTGCCTCAAACTAACAACCCTGCTTTCTGAGATGAAGGTTGAAGGTGGCTATTAACAAAGAGAATAAAAAGGGATAGGTCATCTCCATTTAGATTTATCATTTTAATTATTCCTATTGTGTAGAAATTGAATAGGTATGGTCATCCTGTGCTTTGTATCCCAATGCAGTCTTGGGAGATTATTTATCTATTTTATTGACTTCTTTCTCCCAGGAGTTTGAACTCATTTTTACCACAAGAGGGCAGCCATCTCTAAAAAACAACCAAAGGGACTGGATCTTAAGACAGAAAGAGCCAAAATTTAGGAAGTTGTGCTTGCGAAAGGCATTCATTCAGCAGTTCCTCAGAAATCGCACAATCGCCCATACAGCAATCTTGTGATGGGCAATACTGAAATGGAATAAAGTGTCCAGAAATGCCAGTTTTCCCTCAGACTCGTGACTATCGAAGATTATTTCATAAACTAACAAGGTTCCCATTTCGCAAGTTATGAAGGCCTAAAGCTGGGAGACATCCTTGATGTCATCACCAGAGATTTATTTTTCATCTTTACTTGAAGAGCATCCAACAGCTATCAACTTTCTCCTCTTTAAAAGCTGCATACTGCTTTTGGTCTCACAAGTTGGGTTTTGTTTTTTTTTAAATCTCACTGCTGACAGAAACAATTGTTAACTTCTCAATTAAACTTTAGGAAAGGAAATAGTTTCAAAAGCACAATAAACAATTTAAACTTGTGTCTATGAGTAGAATATGTTCTATTGCTAAGTAGTTTGGTGTCCAGTGATTCAGAATAACAGTCAACTTTCATAGCCCTTTATTTTCAGGGGGGAAAGAATTTTTTAAAAAAATATATCTTTATTGATTTCAGAGAGGAAGGGAGAGGGAAAGATTGATAGAAACATCAGTGATGAGAGAGAATCATTGATTGGCTGCCTCCTGCACCCGGGATAAAACCTGCAACCCCAGCATCTACCCTTGGCTGGAATCGAACCTAGGACCCTTTAGTCCGCAGGCTGACACTCTATCCACTGAGCAAAACAAGCTAGGGCAGAAATTCTTGACTATTTGCTGAACCCCAACTCCCCATTTATTTCCCTAGTAGGTAGGCTTCCCTCTGAAATACCTTATTTGACCTTTATACTTTCAGAAACAGCAAGTGCCTAATTCCCCTCTGTGGGTTGCTAATCCGATTTATGTGAGCAGAACCTGGAATTGTTTTAGCTTCCCAACTGAAAAAATAATACACATGGGTAGTAGATTGTTATGAGCTCCTGCTTCAGATTTTTCCCTTTCTGGTTCACAGGCTTGAAGGTGCTGTGCAGTCCAACTTTGTTTTGCCATCTGGCCTTTTTCAAAATTTTTTTGCCCTTGGCTTCTGGGATCACTTGGGTGACTCCATTGCCCTTAGTGTGGAGGATCCTGGAATCCGAGAGGGAGAGGATGCCTGGAAACTCAAGAGGGCAGTGGACTTGGGGAATATGTCAGCTGAGAAAGACAAGGGACTAGACCATATGGCACAGACCTGCTGCTGGGGCCTGGTGGAAGGGGTTGGAACAGAAGGTTCTAAGGTCTCAAACCGGAATTGTCTTGTAGGCTTGGCTCACACCGTGCACACTTCCTCTGAATTAATCACCTGCCTCAGCGCTGGGTGAGATAAATATCACAAGGCATGAAGTGATTGCTACCATAAAAAGAAATAAAATCCCTCTCATCCTCTCTTCACGCTGGCACACACACACACACACACACACACACTCCATTGCACGTGTCATGTATAGCAGGATGACATCCATTTCATATAGGCAGCTATATTTATAGAAATATGTGCTTCATTAGAATATATTTACATGTACAGGTAAATATACATACCTATGAGACATACACACGTTTATGTGTATATTACATTTATCCGAATAAAGTATGTGCACATTTACATAATATAAACGGACACATGTGTTTACATATATAAATACATATATCTGTGTGTTCAAGTTTAAACAGCACCCAGTTTTCAAACTTCAGTTTTCTTTGACAGAATGGTCTACCCCGAGCCTTTGCCAAGATGCTTTGTAACTTGGTGGAGTTTAGCTTTGTTTTGACTGGTCTGTTCCCGAAAAACTTCAAACTGAAAGTTAAATAACGGGCCAGCTAGGGAAATAAGGATGTAACCCCGCATTTGTCCCGGATCGCGCCCCCGGAGCGAGAGCCAGGGTCAGGCGCCCCGGGAGCTCTCCGGGGCTGGAGGCGCGAGCGCCCCCGTCCGCGGCCGCGCGTCCCCGCCCTCGGCCCCACCCCGCCGCGGCGGCCCCGGCGCGCCGTCCACACCCCTGCGCGCAGCTCCCGCCCGCTCGGGGATCCCCGGCGAGCCGCGCCACCGAGGGGGAGGTGTTCGCCGCGGCCGGGAGGGAGCCGGCGGGCGGCGTCCCCTTTAAAAGCCGCGAGCGCCGCGCCACGGCGCCGCCGCCGCTGCCGCCGCCGCCGGAGTGTTCGCCCCGCCGCGCTGCGCTGCGCCCGCCGCTCCGCTCCCGCCGCTGCCGCCGCGGACTGTCAGCCTCCGCGGGCTCCGCCGCCCACCCGAACGACTTCGGGGAGAACGCCTCCGGGATTACTGGGGTCTCCTCCGGGGCATCCGCGCCAGAGCGCCCGGCTGTGCGCGCCCCTGCGCCGTGGCCTCAGCTGCCCGGGCCGCGCCGGAGCGAAGGACCGACCGGCGCGCAGAGCCTCTGCCCGGGAGCCCAGCCTCGGCGCTGCGATGCCGATCCCCTCCTGCGGGGGCTCCGAGGCTAGGGGTGCACCGGCCGGCGTGTGATCGGACCCCTGACCGGCCGCAGACGGCACAGCAGCTCGGCCCGGGGGCGAGGAGAGCGCGACCACCCACCCGACTCTGCTGAACTCGCCGGAGGAGAATGCGCCCGAGAACGACGGGGCGCCCGAGCCGCGGGGGTTCCAGCCGGCTAGCGCGGATGGGGGTGCTCTGGAGTCAGGCAGAGTGATGTGGGGGGGCAGCAGCTCGCCTGGCACCCAGATCGCCGCTGCGCCCTCGCCCGGACCCCCCGTCGCCCAGGATGGCTGCTCCGAACCATGGGCCGCGGCGGAGCTAGCGCCGAGCGCCCTGCCTTCGTCCCCCGAGTCCCGGAGCCGCTCCCGTGCGGGGCCACGCGTCCCGCGGGCGCTGGGTCCTGAGGACGACGACAGCACCAACTTTTCCTTTTTCCACTGCCTCCCCGGCCCCGCACTCCTCCCCCTGCTCGCTGTTGTTGTGTGTCAGCACTTGGCTGGAGACTTCTTGAACTTGCAGGGAGAGTGACTTGGGCTCCCCACTTGGTGCCGGTGCCTTGGCCCCGGTGGACCTGAGCCGCACCGCCCCCGAACCCCGTCCCCCCACTCTTCTGGGCCCGACCCCTGTACGCCGTTCCCCGCCAGAGGAGAGGAACTGCCCGGCCGGCACCCGGGAGAAGAGGAGGAGGAGGAGGAGGCAAAGGAAGGGAACTCTCTCCCTGCGCCAGGTCCTTCGGCCAGAGCTTTTTCCATGTGGAGGCTCTTTCAATGGACGTGTCCCCGCGTGCTTCTTAGACGGTCTGCGGTCTCCTAAAGGTAGAGGACGTGGGCCCGGGGCTGAGCCTGGGGGTGGGGGGTGAGCGCGGTGGTGCCCTGGCGGCCACTATCGCTGAGTCCTTCCCCATCCCGGGTCCCGCCAGGCCGGATGTAAACAGAACCCCCTCCAAGTCCACGTGCAGCCGAGCCCGGGCTGGGATGCCCCCATACAGCTGCTCCCCTTCCCGTCCCCCACCCCACCTCCCCAGCACACACACCCCGGGCGACAGCCTCGCCCTTTTGGCTCAAACTCTTCCGCCCCTCCTCCTCCTCCTCTCTTAGGTATTTTATTAGGGCTGTTAACACTTGGATGATTAAAGAAAGCCAGAGATCCCCTTGAGAGGATGACCCTGGCTTTCACCCGTTAGCTGCCAACCTGCGTGCCCTGCCATGGGACATCCCTTCTCCCTTCCCCGGGCTTCTCCGGGAGACCTGCTGTCCCTCCTCAGAGCCACGTCCCCTTTGGGAATGTACTGCAGGTTGGGGTTTCTCCCTGCTTGCTTCCAGGAATTCCAGGGACACCTTGTACTGACACGTGAATTAATAGATATTAGCTGCTCACGTAATCCCGGGAAGATACCTTTGTATCGTGACTGCATCAGGGAGGGAAGGGTCCGGGGTTGGAGTGGGGGGCTGTCTGTCCGTCCTGACATCTCTGAGGTTAAGAAGCACCGGCCTCCAGGTGTAAGTGGCTTCGGAAGTTGTGGCCTTGGCTTTCCTAGGTCTGGAATCCATAGACTTGGGGTGTGTGTGTATCAGGAAGTTCTATACGGTGCCTCTAAGGAAGTCACATGCACCACTTGTGCGTGTTTTTAGGCAAAGCGAGCGCCGGGCAGAGTGTGTGTGTGTGTGTGTGTGTGTGTGTGTGTGTGTGTGTGTGTGTGTTGGGTTTGTTCAGAGGACCAACAAGGGGTGTCAGACCCAGGAGTGGCTTTCCCACAGGCTCCCCGCACTGTGTCAGCGCCGCGAGTCTCATAGAAAAAACAGGTGACAGTCACTGACGCCGGGGGAGGGTGGAAAGGGGTCTTTCCAATCATGCTGGAGGACTGAAGAGTGGAATAGGAGGGAGAAAGTCTCAAGGCTCTGGAACGAGGACCCCTCCATTCTCCGGGGCGTTCTAGCTCCAGCTGCTCTGAAGTATCTTCCCCACTCCCCCCCCCCACCCCCCGCAAATGGTTAAAGCCAGGTGGGCACCCTGGTGGCGGAGGCGGGCGGACCGAGCGGGAGCCGGGAGCCGAGGCCGCGGGGGCGGGGTGGGGGAGGGCTGGGCGGGGAGCTCGGTGACTCACGTCGGGGCCCTGTCTGCAGGTCGACCATGGTGGCCGGGACCCGCTGTCTTCTAGCGTTGCTGCTTCCCCAGGTCCTCCTGGGCGGCGCGGCCAGCCTCATCCCCGAGCTGGGCCGGAGGAAGTTCGCGGCGTCGGCCGGCCGCTCCTCGTCCCAGCCGCCCTCGGACGACGTCCTGAGCGAGTTCGAGCTGCGGCTGCTCAGCATGTTCGGCCTGAAGCAGAGACCCACCCCCAGCAGGGACGCAGTGGTGCCCCCCTACATGCTGGACCTGTACCGCCGGCACTCGGGCCAGCCGGGCGCGCCCGCCCCGGACCACCGGCTGGAGAGGGCAGCCAGCCTCGCCAACACCGTGCGCAGCTTCCACCACGAAGGTGAGGCGTGGAGCAGGGGAGCCGGGGCGGGGACGGGGGCGGGGAGTCCTCCCGCAAGCAAAGCGCCTGGGAGGCTGCGGGCATCCCTGGAAGGGCAGCTTGGCCAGGGCACGGAATCCCTTTCCAGTCTAGTCTCTGTAAGGAACCTTTCTGAACCTGGCTGTAGCTCACTGCCTGCCTGTGTGGTGGTGGGGGGAGCCAGGGATTCCCCATTGGTAAATCCGCACCCTTTTCCTGGCTGGCAGCCAGCAGAGCGGCTCCTCCTCCTGGAACTGGAGAGAAATCAAGTGATGGGAAAGATGAGGGCAAAAGGCATGCCCCTAGTCAGCTAAACGTGCAAGAATCCCATAGGGGAAGATGAGAAGGAGGAGGGCAGGTTGGGATCACTTTCCGTCTGTTTGGAAGCCCTCACTCTATAAATCTGCCTCTCCTGCTTAAGCAGGGGGGTTTCAGGCTAGACAGAGCCAAGCGCAGAATTTTCTGAGATTTGTATTGAAAAATCAAAGCCCAGGGCCCCGAAAGTCTTTCTAATTTACAGTTGATCTGGGCCTGGTTTGGAAATTTCCGAATCCCTATCTAATCCCTGTGGGAGATCAATTCCACAATCATACTGTTTCCACAATGACTTTCTTGTCTTGTGCTTAAATCTGAGATGAACTCCCAGTAGAGACAAGGGAAGCCTCAGATAAAGCTCTTGCAGCAGCTGCCTGTTTTCCTTCACCTGCACTGCAATGTGGATTTTCTTTTATGGTACTGCATGCGGTTTTTCCAAGGTAGGGCATTCTGCTTGTTTCATCGGAAAGACATTCCGTGGATACGGAATGTCTTAGAGCAGCTCTTGGAAATCTCTGTGTTGTACCAAGATTTTTAGAGCATTTGGTCAAAAATAGGTTCCACTTCAATTCTTTTTCTACACGTTTACATTGCCTGCATTCTAAATAGAGAATAGAGCACAGGTTCCTTCAAGTTCTAGAGAAGGGTACAAAGTTGCATGTCACCGGGCAACCACTTGTTGGCTATTGGAGGGTTGGGAGCGAAGTTCCCTTTTTCTTGCCTAGCCCTGCTGAGGTGGTAAATTTCAAGTGGAATCTACAATCTGATATGTAGAAATGTTTTCATCACAGCCTTGCCATGATTAGAGAGCCAGCTCATCATTTTCAGCTGATGCTGGTTAGAATAGTTTTTTTTCTTCTTTTTTTCTTTTTTTTTTTTTTTTTCTTGGAGGGTAGAAAAATAAGAATGTCTGCTTGAGCCACTGCTCCTGGAAGTGTAGCATGGAAACCATTCTTTACTTTTAAGGCCAGGTATGTGTCTCTTATAACATAAAAGGAAGATCATTTAAATCATTTGACACCTAAAACACTCAGTTGCATGAGGATTCCATCAGTGACGGCTACATATTTCTTTCTCTACAAGTGGCTTAATCAAAACCGAACTGGCTGCAAATTATTTGAAGGTGCTATTTTTAACTTAAATAGCATGCATAGTTAATAGGTCAGGATCTATATCTTTAAAAAATATAAATGTTATGTGTGAAATAGTACAGAAGTTACCAATTTGCTTAAAATCAATTTTTTAATAGGTCTTAATGCAGTTAGGTGATAGAGAAAAGCTATGTAATTTTTGCCTCTACTTTCAACCAATCCATTTCTTGTTATAACTAGTATATCAACATTAGGTTACATGTTGCATATTTTAAAGACCATTTTTATATCTCTAATAGCCAGGATTTGGTTTTTATAAACATCCCTGGGGCATGGATAGCCCTTCAAATCTTTTAATAAACCATATGGTTAAGGTGGCTGGCTTAAGAGCAGAATTTGGCTCATATGGAACGAATAGGCATTTATCTGGTAAAGGACCAAAGGGTCAGATTCCAAGAGTTACTTGTTGGTTTTGTTTGTGGGTGGGATCTGGAAGATTTGGTGAAATTATGAGACAAGAGACATGATGGCATTCTTCCAACCAACGTGTGAAGATAAAGGGACCACATGGAAGGTGATCAGAGACAAAATTATCAGTTGTCATTTCTCCTCTTAAACTTTGTCTTGTCCTTTCTGCAGTGGCTTTTTTATTCAGGAAAGCCCAAGTGCTGAAAATTTTTTTCTTTTTTCAAAGTCATTAAGAAGTGCTTTGACCACATAAGCCTTGCAAGCTGCCACTGAGTATAGAAAAATTACTTCTCTAATTGGAAAGAGTGTTTTGTGCTTTGCTGTAGTGAGAAACACATTGAAATGGGTTGGCTTCATTGGCTGTGCAAACAGTCTTTATAGTTTCCTGTAAGGTTGGAATATACAAGGACCACATGCTTGCTCTTCAGACTCTGAAAGACAGTCTTTTTGTGTGAAGTAACTGAATTATTTGCCTCTGTGACAAAAGTTTTGACATAGAGATTAACCCCATTCCCACAGCTAGAATTATTGTGAAAATATCCGTACAACAGGCAAGTTCCCTGTGAAGGAGAACTTGGGTCACATTCCAAGGGCAACCAAAGGATTTGGGCAGTATAAACCTCCGAAAGCAACATTTTCCTGGTGGGCTTCCCTGGTGTACCCAGGTATTTCAGAGTGATTATGAAAGACCTCTGTAAATAGGAGACACGTTCTGTTTGGAAGTGCTCAAAGGGATTGAGGCTATGGTGCCCAGTGGTAGTTCTTGCACTGTTTTCTGATCTCCTGTGTGTGTGTGTGTGTGTGTGTGTGTGTGTGTGATTCCTCTATAATCTCCCTTCTCTTTGAGCTATTTTGTCTTTGTTTTTGAGTCTTGCCCTTTGTGTATTTCACTAAGTAGTCAGAGGACAATAAGAGGGCACCAAATCATTCCTAAAGTGTTGAAGCTAAGGGTGGGTAGAAGCCAAATCAGAGTTAGTGATTATGGCCATTATGACCATACTTTTCCTTTAGCTGCCATCTCCTTTGTTGTCTTTTTAAAAAATCGAGTCATTGTAACCTTTGTGTTTTATCTTTTCTCCTTGATATAGCAGTTCTGTAACCATTATCTTATATTCTAGAAAGTATAATTTATTATTCTCAGCCACTTTGATTTTATTTCAGGACAGTAATTTCCAACCTTACTGATTTTCTGGACTATCCCCAGGTTTTTGTTATCTTAATGGATCTTTTTTTTTTGGGGGGGGGGGGGGGGTTGTCCAGATTGTGTTGCAAATTCTCAAAACATAAGGATCACTCACCTTTTTTGCTAAAACTTACCATATGATAGGACTAAAAGGCAGCCACAAAATATCAGTGGTTCCAAACAAGATCTGTATGTCCCAGCGGGTCCTGCCACTGCACTCTTCTGCTCATTTAGTTCTTTGTGCTCCCTTGCCACACTTGGGTGGTGTGTTTCTATCCCTTTAGCTGGAAAATAACTCACCGCATGGTTATCATTATATTAATTATTAGAGTACTCGTAATAGTTCTGACTTTTGCTTGAGTTTTTGACTCATCTCTATGTTATGTAGTGCCGTCTAGTGGCCGAAATCTTGGGAAATGCAATAGACTGAAGTCCATAGCTCTGCTCTTCGTCTACTAGCTCTGTGACCTTAGCAAAGTCACACAACCTCTCTGAGTCCAACCAGTTCATTCACAAAAGGAAGATAGTAGTTTCTCTGGAATCAATTTGATGTGAGGTAATTCATATAAAGCTCTCAGTCCCAGGCCAGGGAAAAGAAGCATTCATCACCCTAGCTATCATTAGCATTATTACTTCTTTCTTTTACGTCACATTCTCCCCTTATCTAGGAAAGAGCAGGCCAGAATAGACCTAGGCTGGCTGGGAGATTTCAGCCTTATCTTTGGATCATTTTGATGTAGATGAATAATTGACAGAGTGTAGCTGGTTCTTCGCTTTTGAAGGAGAGTTTAAATCCCTGGCCTTATTTTTCTTTCCCCTACATATTTGCCATCATAGCTTCATTTATTTGGTTAAGAACTTTTAAATAAATGTGAAGAACATTTATTTGGTCAAGAACTGGGTTCAGGAACCCAGGTCTGAGATAGGCTGGAATCCTCAAATCCCTTGGCAAGTTCAGATTATTCCACAAGGGTTATTTCCAGAGAATTAACAACTGTACAAACCTCCAAAAAAGCATTCATTACCTACTTAGGTCAATGCTCTCTATTTTCAGACTCCCCAGGCTTGCTGTGATCATTTGCAGAAGTTTTTTCTTTTTCTTTTTCTTTAATTTACGTTATTTCACATCGTTTTTGACTTTTCAAACCTGAAGAAAAACTTGATGTTGGGGTTTTCTGAGAACTTCAGACTGTAGTCAGGGGTATGTTGTCTTGTAGGCTTTTGTATTAAGGAGAAAGAGGGCTCCTTCAAGGAATAGGATGACTGAGATGAAGCTGAAAGTCGGAGAAAAGGTCTTCACATTACTTGATGTTATTCAACAGTGCTCCCCATTTCCCTCCTCCCCCACTTTGTTAAGGTAACTAAGTGATTATTATCCCCAGTGAGATTTTGAAGCACATGAAATTGTCATTTTTATAGGTTAAATCTGGTCAAAAGGTGGCAATTTTATCTGATTCCATTTTATATTTATCTTAGGAGGGTTATTGTTCTATTTTATTCCTCCTTTGTACTCATCTTCTGTACTTCAATTACCTGTCTCTCATGCTTGCCTTGGCGAATGTCCCTTCCTCGTCGTCCTCTTGGCTATGTGTGTGTGTATCCACGTGCCTGTGTTTATAATTTTTTTTTTTTTTAATGTAAGCATTTAGATTCAGAGTTTCTGTTGCAATTGGGATTTCTCTGGGCACCTTCATTAATACAGCCAGTCAGCATTCCTTTTTCCTCTGATATCCTCTTTCCTCTGGCAGCCCTTGGCTTCTCTGCTTAACGAATGCACTCAGGGAAAACATCAGAGGACTCCTGAATTTCAAGGAGGAGAGGAAAAGAAGCTCACTACAGTTCTTGATGCTTGTTGGGAAACGCTGAGGGCGAGCCCAGTTGCATGGGTGGGAGGGTTATTTTAAAAATAGTGCCTGGTCTGAAGTATTGCTCACTTTCAGTGCGGTTTAGAATGTGGATGGCTCTCAAAAGGTATCCCCAGTGGGTGTGGGTTAGAGGGCTCACTTTCTGGCCTGATAGTCTCTGTGCCCAAGTACAATAGATGAGTTTTAAGAGGTATTTCTACTTCACAGGCCTCGACTCATTCCTTGGCCAACATGAGTGGTTCTAAGCATTTTCATATCATTCAACAAAAAGGCCCTTAAAAATGTGCTCCCAGCAAGTTGTACTTGAATGTGAAAAGCATCCCTTAAAACTTGTGCCCTCTAGTATCACCTCATCTGGGAGCTTGCTAGAAATGCAGAATCTCAGGCCCTACCCCAGACCCACTGAGTCAGAACCCGCATTTGAAGATGTGAGGTGTCCTAGCTGTTTTGTGTGAAGGTTAGAGTTGGAGCAGCTTTACGTTGAAGCATCGTTCCATAATGTGGCATAGCCTGCCCCTGTTGAACTCAGTGCTTCCACTTAGCCTGCATTGATCATGGCTGCTTTGATGATGAAGGTTTACACAGGTTTCCTAGCTCTTTGCGTTAGGAAAAATGCAACAATGAACTTAATGAAAATAGGGTATCCTCTTATGGCACATGTGTCAAACACAAGGCCCGCGGGCCAAATCCGTCCCGCCAGGCCTTGCAATGTGGCCCGCACCGCGCTGTCATCACTGCACTCCGCTGCGTTTCCATCACAATGACAGTTTATGACTGTTCAGTAAACCATTCGGCCCGCGATTTAGGCTGGATTTTAGATTTTGGCCCCTTCTCTGATTGAGTTTGACACCCCTACTCTTATGGTGATGACCTGGAACTATGGCCAAATAGACTTTGTTAGCATTTACATTGGATCCTGAATGAAGCAGATATGTTTTTTGAAAGTCAAATGACAGACTGTAGTAAAGCTAGAAAAAAATGCACCTAAATATTTCAGATTCTAGTGTTGTGTACTATCAGTTTAATAACATTGGGTACCTCTGATGACTTGCAGACTACAACATTCAAGGTGCTATGCTATTTTTTGTATTGTTTTCTTAAAAAAACAGTACTCCTTATTATTGAAATTCAGGAATATTAAATCAGAATGAGCATTTATGCATAACCCACTTAAATGTCTGTTTTGAAATAATGACAGTAGATATATAAAGATTATTCTGTAATAGGATGAGATTCTCTTTCTGTGTTATATCTGTCATGATGGCCTTTTTATAGATTTTTATCAGTTTTTTTGTTTTGTGTCTATTCTTGGGTAGGTGTTTGTTTTTTAAGATGATTTATTTTTTGAAAAGATAAAGGAATTACAAACATAGGAGAGTCATTATGTTTCTTCTAAAAGCATCTAAAATGAGATTTTGATGTTGAGGTCATAAGGAGGTGAGAGGACAGACAACACTTGGGAAGATATTTCTCTTGAAATTGCCTTAATTACTACAGTGTCCCAGTACCACCCTTACGTTTGCAAAGAAGTAGATTCCTGTACATGCCTTTGTCTCTGGATTTTTGAGTAAAATAGTAGGGTGTGCTTTGCAAAATGTCATCGTTGATGTTGAGTTTCAGAGTCTTTAATTAGGAAACTGAAATCTGTATATCGAGATTTGTAAATCATCTAAATTGCAGAGCAATGTTTTAGAATACCGCTTAAGGGATTGACATTAAAGCCTTTTTCTTTTTACAAAATGCAATAATTTCCTCAAATCCTCACTCATTAGACCTCTACTAACTATAGTGCTGACTTTTTTTTTTTTTTTTTTTTGGCCTTAAAGTCTGTGAATTCCAAAGAAATGCTTCACCGTTTCCCCCATTATTATAGCCACCTGGAAGCAGTATTCATTAAAAACATAACAGTGAATGATGACATTGTGTTTCATGATAGGCGTATTAGAAATATTAGAAAAGAGAGAGACTAGGAAAGGGAGACTATTTTTAGCTAAAAGGGGGAATTTTTTATCTTCTGGCTGCCAGCTTACATATGGGTGAAATCATACGCTGAAGTGAGATATACAAATTCTTACCTATAATCAGATTGTCATTACTCATCTTACCCAAGTATTTTTTGTTCTTCTCTCCCTTCCCCCCACCTTTTCATATCAAATTAGAATCTTTGGAAGAACTTCCTGAAACGAGTGGGAAAACCACCCGGCGATTCTTCTTCAACTTAACGTCCATTCCCACCGAGGAGTTTATCACCTCCGCCGAACTCCAGGTTTTCCGGGAACAGATGCAGGAAACGTTGGAAAACAACAGCAGTTTCCATCACCGAATAAATATTTATGAAATCATAAAGCCCGCAGCAGGCGGCTCGGAGCTCCCGGTGACCAGACTGTTGGACACCAGGCTGGTTAATCAGAACGCCAGCCGGTGGGAGAGCTTCGACGTCACCCCCGCTGTGATGAGGTGGACCGCGCAGGGACTGGCCAACCACGGCTTTGTGGTGGAGGTGGCCCACCTAGAGGAGAAGCCCGGCGTCTCCAGGAGGCACGTCAGGATTAGCAGGTCTTTGCACCAAGACGAGCACAGCTGGTCCCAGATCAGACCCTTGCTGGTGACTTTTGGCCACGATGGGAAGGGCCATCCTCTGCACAAGAGGGAGAAGCGTCAGGCGAAGCACAAGCAGCGCAAACGCCTCAAGTCCAGCTGCAAGCGGCACCCTTTGTACGTGGACTTCAGCGACGTGGGGTGGAATGACTGGATCGTGGCCCCCCCGGGGTACCACGCCTTTTACTGCCACGGGGAGTGCCCCTTCCCCCTGGCCGATCACCTGAACTCTACGAACCACGCCATTGTGCAGACGTTGGTCAACTCCGTGAACTCTAAGATTCCCAAGGCGTGCTGCGTCCCCACGGAACTGAGTGCCATCTCCATGCTGTACCTTGACGAAAATGAAAAGGTCGTATTAAAGAACTACCAGGACATGGTTGTGGAGGGTTGCGGGTGTCGTTAGCACAGCAAAATAAAAATAAATATATATATATAAATATATATATTTTAGGAAAAAAGGAAAAAAAAAAAAACCCAAGTTGACACTTTAATATTTCCCAATGAAGACTTTATTTATGGAATGGAATGGAGAGAGAGAGAAAAAAAAAAAAAAAAAACCACACAGCTATTTTGAAAAATATATTTATATCTACGAAAAGAAGTTGGGAAAACAAATATTTTAATCAGAGAATTATTCCTTAAAGATTTTAAAAAATGTATTTAGTTGTACATTTTATATGGGTTCAACCCCCAGCACATGAAGTATAATGGTCAGATTTATTTTGTATTTATTTACTATTATAACCACTTTTTAGGAAAAATAGCTAATTTGTATTTATATGTAATCAAAAGAAGTATTGGGTTTGTACATAATTTTCCAAAAAAAATTGTAGTTGTTTTCAGTTGTGTGTATTTAAGATGAAAAGTCTACATGGAAGGTTACTCTGGCAAAGTGCTTAGCACATTTGCTTTTTTGCAGTGCTACTGTTAAGGTCACAAGTTCAAGTCCAGAAAAAAAAAAATGGATAATCTACTCTGCTGACTTTCAAGATTATTATATTATTCAATTCTCAGGAATGTTGCAGAGTGGTTGTCCAGTCCATGAGAACGTAATGTCCTTATTAGGTGGAATATTTGGATAAGAACCAGACAACGCTGATCTAATATAGAAACCCTCCCCCCCACCCCTCAATTTGCAGAAAGGGTAAAAGCAGGACCAATAGAAACAACTAGGAAAATGATAAACCTGCAGGAAAGTGAATGATGGTTTGTTGTTCTTCTTTCCTAAACTAGTGGTCCCTTCAAAGGGGCTGGTCTGGCCAAAGGATTAAATAAAACATACGATTTCTTCATTATTGATATTGTGGTCATGTATAATTAAAACTCTTATCCAGTGGCCCTCGTGAAGACTTGGAAATGGATTTGCATTTAACTTTTACCTCATCTGGGAGCTCTTTAGGCTCAAGAAGGACCCAATTCTCTAACATCTCCCAACACACAGCAAAACTGCACTCACCGTGTTCTCTGCCCACCCCATTCTCTGTTCGATCAGCTTGCTTTTCTTTCCAAGGTTATGTGTTGGAACACATTTCTCCAAATGTTAAACTTATTTCAGATAATAAATTTCAAAGCTCTGGCATTTCATTTTATAAAGTCCAACCTGTAAGAAGAGAAAATGATGTGTTTGTACAGCATTCACAGTGATTACCTCGGGTTTCCAGTTTTTGCTTCCGAAGTTACCCCTTTTGGAGGGAGGTGGGGGAAAGGCAAGGGAGGGTAGGGAATTTGCAAGCAAGTCACTTGATAATTCAAATTTGCACCAAAGGAATTACCAGTGATTTAGCAGTTCCCATGAACCTCTTTGGGTCAGAAAGATTTAAGAGAAAACTAAAGCTACAAAACAGGCAAAACCTGGGGAATCCAAGATAAAGTTTCAGAGATGATATCCCATGCAACAGAGGCAACGGTGCCAATAAATTAGAAAGGGAAAGTGTCTGAGATCAGCTTCTGCGAGGACATCTGCCAATTGGACTGAAGCCCAAGCGGAATGAAGTCAAATTAGGCTGCTCAGAATGAACACTTAACAGTGGCAGGGCTTCTGTGCTCCCGGGCTGAAATCGGACCCAAGGAAGGGTTCTGTGGGTGGGTATGTCAGCACAGCCAGCGAACCCACAACTCCCCATTATTTCACTGGAAGTATTTTAGGTCAGTTTCTAGGAATTTGTGTCACCTCGGATCCTGCTAAGATTGGTGAGGCCTAATTCTAATATCTTTTTCTAGTTCTAATATCCTTGCCTTGGAATTGGTTTGAGGGAAAAGGGTGGGGTGGGGGTGGGAAGTAGTGTATTAGCAATGGAATAGACTCTTACAACCAGATTCTTTCCAGAAATGAACTTGCAATGACCGTGAACGTAGTTACATTTTGGGTGTGATAGGTTTAATCCCTGCCTCGCTCAAGATTATATAGATCATATTTTTAAGTTAATAACGAGCTGTCTTTTATTTCTTTTGTTATAATCTTTCAGTTTCTTTTTATCTGTATCCCCCTTGAGCTCTCGTATAGGATCATGAGGATTAGATCCAACTTGACGGGAAAGGATAGGCTCTGTCAGCCATTCTCCACCCTTTCTTGCCATGGGAATGAGGGACAGACTGCACAGTCTTAACAACTTAAATATGAGAGAGAGAGAGAGAGAGAGAGAGAGAAGAGAATTTACATCTAGCACAAGCATGTACATTTATTTGGCAGTTGCAGCCACTCTTGATTTCTGTTGCATTGGTTCTGACTGACTTGGGTGAAATGGTTTTCATTGGTATCAACTCAAATGTTTCCTCTTGTGTGTTATATATATATATGTGTATATATGTATATGTAAATATATACACACGGTAAATAATATGTACAAAGATACATATGCAGAATTATGTAATAGATATTTCATATGTATAGATGATGGCATTTTTCAGTTTAGTTACAGAGATTTTGTAATAGTTGAGGACTCTGTCCCTCTTGGCAGCTCCTTTGAGAAACAGAATATTCTTACATTTTATGTTGTTACACACATTTTGGCTTAAGTTCCTCATTCTGAGAAAAAAAAGTGTGTCACAACCCATGGCATGACTCTCTGGAACCTTCAGTCACTGTGCTGTAGGAACCTTGGCATCCTTTTAGAGGGGGTGCTTTAAGAAGTGTAGTAGTTTCTGAATGTGGGGGATCACCTTTCAAAGTATATTAAATTGTGTCATCTGTTTTTGTGCTTGTCTGGGCTGCGTCATGCGCCTCCCTGGCCTGATTTTAACCTGCATGGCAGGTCCAGAATGCTCTGTTCATTTTTTTTTTTTTACTACAAAATCGGGGAGGGGGAGGATGAATGGTTTGCACATTTATCTGTGCTTCCATCTTTTCATATTTTTCTCCTGCAATTGCTACTTTACATTGCCTCTCAAGAGGCCAAGAGTGGAGAGATCTGTAAATCTGATCTAGCAAGCTGCCTAAGCAGTAGATAATCTAAGTTCTATATTTTCCCCTCAATTTTTTTTATTGGAGGTGGAAAAATCATTTGTGCAATTCTCAGCACTTTTTGAAATAGCATATTTCTATCCTATAGTCGTTAATATTAAGATATTGATTCACTGAATATCAATATCTTAATATTCACAGCCCTTCCCCCTCCCCCTCGGCCCAATCTGTTATAAGGCCAAGGAGCACAGCCTTGCAGTAAAGATAAGTGTGACACAACTGGGCAATTATAAAGAGGTAAGAATGCCCTGGCACTGTTCCTTCTGTTTCATTTATGTATTTTTTTTTTTTTTTTAACAAGGGACGGGTAGGGCGAGATGGGGGAAGAAATGCAAGTCCACTTCTGGGGGGTAGATTGCTACCCTCCACCCTCCACCCTCCACCCTGCTGACATAAATTACAGCCTTCTGCGATTCTCCAGGGCAGAGTTTCTGACCATCTCCCTGCCCTGCAAACTTCAAAGTGAACTTCTACCTGACTTGCTCTAAGTAAGACTTCTTAGGTTTTAATGTGCACATGAGTCACCAGCACCGCCTCGGGGAGAAGGCGGCATTAATGTGTATACAGCCCTGTTGGGATCCTGCTGTAGGTTCTGTTTCAGTACGTCTGGGGTGGGGGCCTGAGATTCTGCGTTTCTAACGTGCTCCCAAGGCCGTTCTTGCTGTCCTCAAGGAAAACTCATAATTATCTTCTTAATCACAACAGCAGAAAGTTGGATCACGTGGAGGCTCCCCTACCAAGTAGCACGAACAGGGGGAAACAAACAAACAGCAAAACCTGTAAACAGGATGGCATCTGAATACATTTCACCATCCCTGAAATGATGCCCTACATAGTTTTTTTTTTTTTTTTCAAAGGCATTCTTTGCCCCCACAAGATGACTGGCAATTTTGTGTTCTAGCCACCCTCAGACATGAAAACACTTGGTTGCTTATCTTGTAAAATCTGCCTCACTTGCTTGCTCGGGCATGTACGTAGTCAGTTTAGTCAAATACGTGTCAGTACATCTATGTGGATGGGGGAGCAGGTGCAAGCCCTTAACGTACTTTAAAAAAGTTTAACACTTAAGTCAGTCCTCTGAGCTGATCCCGTGTGATCTTAGTGCCAAGCGTCTGAGTTAAAAGTTTTCCCTTTGAAGACAGCAACTCGATGTCATACATTTGAAGCATTTGTTTATACTAAAAGATGATGCTTGCCTTTGTGTGTGTGTGTGTGTGTGTGTGTGTGTGAGTTCTAAGACAGTTTGCTGTACAACACCACCATTGAGCCTAGAGGGTGGTATAAAGCTGCCCGAGCTGGTATTTGAGGTTTGATTTCATGGAGATTGGAATTCATGATGCCGAGGCCAGCTTCGCGTAAGGTGCTGAAGTGAATGGGCTCAGGCTAGAAAAAGCAAAGGAGATCAGCAAAGAAAGAACTTTGTGTTTGCACCCTCTTTTCAGCCAAATCTCCCAGGAGGGTCACCTGGCAGCCTCATTTTACGGTGAGGGGAGCACTTTTGAAGATTTCCTACAACCAACACAGATTTGAATATTTGTTGAATAAATTCTGGGATGAATGAATTTCTTATCTCAAATATATCTTTTTTTATATAATACCTATGTTTTGTATAGATATTATATTTGCATACATTATACACATATATTTTCCTTTGGATATTATATATATATATATATATATATATATATATATATATATACACACACATATAAAATATGTATGTGTATATATACCTAAGTAAACTTTGATTTCTTCCTTTCTAAAGTCAGAATGCTGAGTGTAGGGTGCCTACGTTTTATTCATTAGGTTTATCATTTCATTTGGGTTTCTGTGTTTTGAATTGAGTGCCTCTGAGGTGCTTAAGCAGCATGCCAGGCACCGACTGGAACACCACTTCCAGCCCAAGTTTGCCCACGTGGGGGGGGGGGGGGCCCTCCCAGGCAGTGCCAGGAGTGCATTATTGTTGTCGTCTGCTCTGATGAGATCTCTCTGCAGACCAGCGATTTGCTTAAAGCTTCCCTCGTAAGGAGCATGATCTCATCTGGACTGCATTTACACTGGAACCACTTGGCCACAACACTACGAGAGAATAATTATTGAACTATTTTACTGTACAACTATTTCCAAATTGTTGATTTTTTATTGATTTCAGGAGGCAAGCTAATTGCCCCATGGCAACTTGATGTGAACGTTTAATGAAGATCAGGAAACAGAGTTTATGAAAAGCTTTTGTATAGTAACTGCAAAGTTTCAAGAACTGTTTTATACTTCCTGACAGTGCTGGGCCCAGCTTAATGGTTTGTTTTTATTACTTAAGAGTGTAAACCTTGCTTTAGCCCAGTGTGTGGAAACTATACCCTCATCCCGCATTACGCATTTGCAAGTTGCTTTTTACTCACTCCCAACTTCCTTTCCTGCCATCTACACTCAGGGACCTTTTTCTGTTTTAATTGTCTGAAAGCAAGTTTCCCCCTCTGCACGCTGAGAATCTTAGCACACGCACACGCACTCCTGAAGTTAAGTGTCTGTATTGTTTCACTTTGTTTTGGGTGGAGTTTCTTTTCAGCACCCGGTTGCTAGACAACCACCCTGACAAAAGTTAAAGATTGAAAAGGCATTTTTAAAGATGTGGAGGCCTGGCAGCTGACTATTTTATCTTTGTCTTTCATGTGGAAGGCTTAGTTTTCTTCCCAGGTTGCCCTGGCCTTTTGTTGGGTAGATGGCTGGTGGGAGATTATTTGGATGTTGAGCTCTAACTAAGGCATTATCTGTTTGAGAACTTTCTGAAGTGTCGTTCCCATTTGCTGGAACACGCTTCCCACCTGGATGGACCAAAAAA